TCCTCCCATCCTTACCTCTACCCTCCGCGCCAGTCAGCCGTGTCGGCACACCCCTCACACGTTTCGTTGCCCCACTGGGAGCTCCAACGAAGGCCCCAGTGGCTGCGTTCGCATGCGCCCACCGCTCCCATTTCGGCACACACACCTCACACGATTCGTGGCCCCACAGGGAGCTCCACCGAAGCCCAATAGCTGCATTCGCATGCGCCCACCGCACCTAGTTCGGCACAACCATCACACGCTTCGTGGCCCCATAAGGATCTCCACCGAAGAGCTCAGTGGCTGCATTCGCGTGCGCCCACCGCATTCATGTTGACACACCCCTCACACGTTTCGTGGCCCCATCGGGAACTCCACCGAAGGCCCCCGTAGCTACGTTCGCATGCGCCCACCGCACCTACTTCGGCACACCCGTTACACGTTTCATGGCCCCACTGTGAGCTCCACCGAAGGCCCCAGTGGCTGCATTCGCATACGCCCACCACACTCGTGCTGGAACACCGGGCACACCTTTCGTGGCCCAACAGGGAACTCCACCGCAGGCCCCACTGGCTGGGCTCGCATGCGCCAACCGTTTCCATGTCGGCACACACACATCACACGTTTCGTGGCCCCACTGGGAGCTCCCCCGAAGACCCCAGTGGCTGCGTTCGCGTGCGCCCACCGCACCAATTTCGGCAAACCCCTCACACGTTGCGTGGCCCCATAGGGAGCTCCACCGAAGACCCCAGTGGTTGCGTTCGCGTGCGCCCACCGCGCCCATTTCGGCACACCCCTCACACGCTGCATGGCCCCATAGGGAGCTCCACCGAAGATCCCCCAGTGGCTGCGTTCGCGTGCGCCCACCGCAACAATTTCGGCACACCCCTCACACGTTGCGCGGCCCCCGCCGAAGGCCCCAGTGGCGGTGTTCGCATGCGCCCGCCCTGCCTATTTCGACGCACCACTTACACGCTTCATGGCCCCATAGGGAGCGAAGGCCTCGGTGGAGGTGTTCGCGTGCGTCCGCCCCACCCATTCTCGGATCGCCACTCACACGCTACGTGGCCCCATAGGGAGCGCCACCGAAGGCTCCAATGGCGGTGTTCGCATGCGCCCGCCCCGCCCATTTCGGCACATTCCTCACACACTTCGCGGCCTCATACGGAGCTCCACGGGTGGCCCCACTGGCGGTGTTCGCATGCGCCCGCCCCGCCCATTTCGGCATACGCCTCACACGCTTCGTGGCCCCATAGGGAGCTCCACCGAAGACCCCAGTGGCTGCGTTCGGATGCGCTCACCGCGCCCATTTCAATACATTCATCACGCGCTTCGTGGCCCCATAAGGAACTCCACCGAAGAGCCCAGTGGCTGCGCTCGCATGCGCTCACCGCGCCCATGCCAGTACATTCCTCACAAGCTTCGTGGCCCCATAGGGATCTCCTCCGGAGACGATGCACACAACTGCGCTACTCATAACTGCATGTGGTTGGATCCTTCGCCAGGCTAATTAAAGCTTGGTCTCTGTTTCGTTTTCGATCGGCTCTTGAGGCGCCCACATGGCTCCAAGGCAGCCCAAGAAGGTCCCTGGGATGCCCAGGACGGCCCGAACACAGCTCGAAGAATGCCAGACAGCGCCTCCAGATCGCGCAAAAAAACGACGGAAGTTGATGTTCGCGCTCCGACGGGGAGACGCAACCCTCCTTTTGCAACCCATGGCCTCCAAAATCGCCCCAACAGGCCTCCAACGGCCTCCCAAAGGGCCCCAAAAAGAGCCCCAGGAGGACTCTAAGACAGGCCCAACAAAGCCTAACGGGCTTCGAAATGCCCTCGGAAGGCCCCGCGATGGCTCCAAAAGAGTCTCCAAAATACTTCAAAATCGCCCCAGCATGGCCCCGCGATGGCCTCAAGAGACCTCCCCCTCTCACTCTCTCTTCCCTTCCCGCTTCCCCCTTCTTCCTCCTCTCCGTTCAGTCGTCGTCGTTGTCGTCCTCGTCCTCCTCCTCCTCCTCCTCCTCCTCCTCCTCCTCCTCCTCCTCCTCATCATCATCATCAGCAGCATCAGCATCAGCATCAGCATCAGCATCAGCATCAGCATCAGCAGCAACATCATCATCATCGTCATCATCATCATCATCATCATCATCATCATCATCCATCATCTCATCATCATCATCTCACATCAGCACATCATCATCATCACTCATCATCATCATATCATCATCGTCATCGTCATCATCGTCATCATTCATCAAGCATCGGCATCATCATCATTCATCATCATATCAGCATCATCTAGTTACTATCATCATCATCATCATCATCATCATCATCATCATCGGCATCATCGTCATCATCATCAGCATCATCATCATCATCAGCTCATCATCAGCTTCTTCATCATCATCCAACATCATCATCATCAAATCATCATCATCATCATCATCATCATATCCCCCTTCTCCTCCTCCTCCATCGTCCTCCTCTCCGCCTCCTCCTCCTCCGCCTCCTCCTCCTCCGCCTCCTCCTCCGCCTCCACCTCCTCCTCCTCATCCTCCTCCTCCTCCCCCTCCTCCCTTCTCCACATCCCAATGCCTCTTGCTGCCCGTTCCGCACAAGGAGGCTCCAAAAGCCGTGTCCGAGGGGCAGGTCCGTCAAGGACCTCGTGAACACACCTCCCAGACCATCGGAGACTCCAAATCCACATTTCTTGTTGCCGAAATGCAAAAGATGCAGTCCAAAATGGCTCTCTTCCTCCCTCTTATCGTCCTCCCTTCCCTCCTGCTCCTCCTTCTCCTTCTCCACTCCTCTTCCAAGTCTCGTCATCTCTCTCTGCTCCCCTTTCCGCCGCTCCATCTCAATCCTCCTTCTGATTCTCACCATCCTCCTCCTCCTCCTCCTTCGCCTCCTCCACCTGTTCCTCCTGGGCCCCGTTCCTGTCCCTCCTCGTCCTCCTCTTCCTCCTCCTCCTCCTCCTCCTCCTCCTCCTCCTCCTCCTCCTCCTCCTCATCATCATGATCATCATCATCATCGTCATCATCATCATCATCATCATCATCATCATCATCATCATCATCAGCATCATCAGCAGCAGCAGCATGATCATCATCATCAGCATCATCATCATAATCAGCAGCAGCAGCATCATCATCATCATCATCATCATCATCATCATCATCGTCGTCATCATCATTATCATCATCATCCTCATCATCAGCATCATCATCATCAGCATCATCATCAGCAGCAGCAGCATCATCAGCATCAGCATCAGCATCAGCATCAGCATCAGCATCATCATCATCATCATCATCATCATCATCATCATCATCATCATCATTCTCCTCCCCATCCTTCTCCTCCTCCTACGCAAGCCACCACCCAGAGTCCCTCCAAAGGCGTCCCCCATCCATTCGGCTCTCGTGTATAGTTGGCATCTTTGTTGTTTTCGTCTGGGCAGCGTTCAAAACGACCGAGGGGATCCCGCCGACAGCCACACAAGTTCCCGAGGCGCCGAAGACAGCCCAGAGGGGCTACAACAAAGGTCAAAGTGCAGCTCCACCTCCTCCTCCTCCTCCTCCTCCTCCTCCTCCTCCTCCTCCTCCTCCTCCTCCTCCTCACCATGCCCCAATGTGTGCATCTCAGCTCCTGGCGCTTCCGCCTGCGGCCGTCTGTCTGAGTAACGGAACCTCAGCCTGTGGCGACGGAGCGATCACCTGGCGGCTCCCCCTTGGAGCGCCCAAATGCGATGCCTGCTATATCGGGATGCCGTTGGGTGGGCGGGGGAAGGCGGAGGGGAAGAAGGAGGAGGAGGACGACGATGAAGAGGAGGGGGGCGGGGGAGGAGGAGGAGGAGGAGGAGGAGGAGGAGGAGAGGAGGAGGAGGAGGAGGAGAGGAGGAGGAGGAGGAGGAGGAGGTGGAGGAGTAGGAGGAGGAAGAGTAAGAGGAGGAGGAGAGGAGGAGGAAGGTGGAGGAGGTGGAGGGGGGGGGGGGAGGCATGAGGAGGAGGAGGAGGAGGACAAAAAAAAGAGGAGGAGGAGGAGGAGGAGGAGGAGGAGGAGGAGGCGGAAGGAGGAGGAGGAGGAGGGGGGGGAGGGGGAGGAGAGGAGGAGGAGGAGGAGGTAGGAGGAGGAGGAGCGAGGAGGAGGAGGAGGAGGAGGAGGAGGAGGAGGGGGAGCGAGGAGGCGGAGGAGGAGGAGAAGGAGGTGCGAGGAGGAGGAGAGGAGGAGGAGGAGGAGGAGGAGGAGGGAAGAGGGTGGAGGAGGAGGAGGAGGAGGAGAGGAGGAGGAGGAGGAGGAGGAGTAGGAGGTAGGAGGAGGAGGAGGAGGAGGGGTCGGGGCTGCCTAAACCAGCGGTTCGTCTGACTCGCTCGGGACATCCTCACGATCTGCTCTGGAAGGGCAGGAGCCCCCGCCACGAAACGAGCAAGCCGCGCGAGACGTTCCAGAAGTCTGGCCGCGAACGGGCGCGTGTGGCACCCCCTCGGCGACTCCTCCGCAGGGTGCCAAAACAGGCGCCTTGCTCGGTGCATCCTCACGATCTTCTCTACGAAAGGAGCACGACGTGCTCTATGAAATGAGCATCCAAGCAGAAAAATCCCAGCCACGAAATGAGCAAACCGCTTAAGACATCCCCACAATCTGGCCGCGAACGGGTGAGTGTAACACCCCCTGGCCGGTCCCGAATGGGGTACAAAAAGGAGCGCCTCGCCCGGGACGTCCTCACGATCTGCATTGGAGTCCCAGGCACGAAACGAGCAAACCGCAGGAGGCATCCCCACAATCAGACCGCCAACGGACGAATGTAACACCCCGCTGGCGGCTCCCCCTTGTGGTGCTACAAAAATCGAGGGCACGCAAACATGGATTAGCGATCCATGGATTTGGCGCGCGGTCGCCAAATCCATGGATCGGGGGAGGTGCCCTCCCCAAAATGCGGCCGGTGCCCCCTCGCTCGGCGGCGGACATCCGTGATTTTCCAGCATGGCTCCAAGAGCGCCCCTGAAGCTTCCAAGAGCGCCCCAAGAGGGCTCCAAGAGGCGCCCAGGCGGCGCCAAGAGGCGCCCAAGGGGCCTCCAAGAGGCTCCCGAGAGACCCCCTAAGAAGCCTCAAAATGACTCCCGAGGCACCCAAGAACGCTCAGGCCCTGGGCCCGCCAAGATGCCCGCCCCGACGCCCCAAGAGGCCTCCAAAAAGCTTCCAAGCATTATCCGAGGAGACTCCGAGCGGCATCCAAGAGGCGTTTGGCTCGTCTATTCGCTCTTTTCCTCCTCCTCCTCCTCCCTACCTCCTCCTCCTAATCACTGCCCGCCTCTCTCCCATCATCCTCTCCTCCTCCCTCCCCTCCTCTCCTCTCCTCCTCCTCTCCTCCTCCTCCTCCTCCTCCTCCCTTCCTTCTCTCCCCTTCCCCTCTCTCCTCCTCCTCTCCTCCTCCTCATCCTCTCCTCCTCCTCCTCCTGCTTCTCCTCATCTGCAAATTAATCTCTTCTCACTCCTGTATCATCAATCCTCCTCCTCCTCCTCCTCCTCTCTCTCCTCCTCCTCATCCTCAAATCATCATCATCATCATCATCAGCTAGCAGCAGCAGCAGCAGCATCATCATCATCAAGCAGCATCAGCATCATCATCATCATCAGCATCATCATCATCAGCAGCAGCATCATCATCAGCAGCATCAGCACCATCATCATCATCATCATCACATCATCATCAGCATCATCAGCATCATCATCATCAGCATCATCATCATCACCATCATCACCATCATCATCATACCCCTCCTCCTCCTCCTCCTCCTCTTCCTCCTCCACCTCCTGCACCTCCTCCTCTTCCTCCCTCGAATGATAACGACTGTCCCCCATGTTGCTCTTACGCTTCCATGCTCGTCTCAACTCGCCTGGGCATCGGTTTTGGATGGGCTGGTTGGGATACGAGAAGCGTCGAGAATTGAATGGAAGTGAATCTGAAAATGACTGACTGTGAACGAGTCTGAGCGAGTATGAGAGCAAGCGTGAGTGAGTCTAAGTATGAGTGATCTGAATGTTCTAAGTGTTCTGACTGTCCGTGAGTCTGAGTACTCCTGAATATGAATGGAAGTGAGTCTTACTTCGAGTGATCTGAATGTGAGTGAGTCCGAGTACGAGTGATTTAAGTGTGACGGAAGGGAGGAAGAAGGCGGAACGACGCAGAAGAGGCCCAAATAGTAACAATTACCGCACAAGTCGGACAAAGGGAAAAACATTACATCTCACCGAGCTCAACTGAGGGTTGTGGCGATGTCTGACCCCTGGACCCGCTCTGGGGTGTCTTCTGACAAGGAGTTCGAGGACAATCGGGCCGTGGCGACGAGAAGTCTCCGGGAGGCCCAGTAAGAGCGAGAAACTACCAAAACTCTTAAACAACCAAAAAAAACCTCTCTGCTCGAGCCGCCCACAGGTGACCCTCGAGGTGCGCCCTCGATCCTCGATCCTCGAACCTCGCCCTGGGTTCTCGCCCGCACCGCCTCGAGGAAGGAGGTCACGGAGAGCCCCCGGCCGCTGCTGTGCCGAGGGGGTCGGCTGTTGGACAGCCTGGCGCGGCGGCGGGCCAGGGGCCGACGAAAGCAGCGGCAACCTGGAGGGCCTGGCTCTGGAGCGGAGCCCACCCTCTCATCCTCTCTGGTCTCGCATCCCCCCTTCCCCCTCCACATCCTCCGTCCTTCCTCCTCATCCCCTCTCTTCCGTTCCTTCCTTCCTTCCTTCCTGCCTTCCTGCCTTCCTGCCTTCCTGCCTTCCTGCCTTCCTGCCTTCCTTCCTCTTCCTCCTCCTCCTCCTCCTCCTCCTTCTCCTCCTCCTCCATCCTTCTTCCTTCTTCCTCATGAACAACTCCTTCCTGCCCCTGTCGACCCCCCAGACATGTCGGTGGGGCGGGTCGGGCGTTTCGCCCGAGGCTTCCTCCCCACTTGTGATCCGGAAGCTTGATACATTTGCAATAGTTTCACAGATGGGAGGCGGGTCCTTCTCAAGATTTGCATCGCGCCTCAGCGCCACGTCCATTCGTCTCAAAAGTTCGCAACAGTTTCAGGGATGGAGGGCGGGTGGTGTTCAAACTGCGCCTCGCACGGCAGGCCTGCGTTCCCCCCCCGGGGCGCACATATGCAGGGACGCCACGGAGCCGCACAGGTTTGGGCGCGACTGGTCCCTTGAGCGGGGAGAAGGAAGACGGGAGGCCAAAGTTTGAGAAGAGCTGCTCCAACCTCGGCCGATGTGTCCCAATGCTTCCCTCGTTTTCTCTCTCTCTCTCTCTCTCTCGCGCGCTGCTTTCCTGCTGTGTTTACGTTGTACGTATACACACATACATACATACATACATACATACATACATACATACATAAATACATACATACATGCATGCATGCATGCATACATACATATATACATACATACATTCATACATACATACATGCATACATACATATATACATACATACCTATAAACATGCATACATACATTCATACATACATGCATGCATGCATGCATGCACACACATACATACATACATACGTTCATACATACATACATGCGTACATATGTACGTACGTACATAGATACATACATTCATTCATTGATACATACAGACATGCATATATAATCTGATAATATATATATGCGTAAATGTATATATGTGTGTATATATATGTGTGTGTCGCTATCTGACGATATGTCACTATTCCTCTCTCCCCCTATATCTCTCTCTTTCTCTCTCTCTCTCTCTCTTTCTCTCTCTCTCTCTTTCTCTTTATCTGTGTATATACACACACATATATATATATATATATATATATATACATACATACATACATGCCCCCCACGCTCATTTCAAAAGGGTGGCGGGGACTGGTTGGGCAGGCGACTGACTTGTCCCGCTCGGGCTGAACGTTCGACCATGACGATGCTGCCGATGATGATGGTGATGACGGTGATAGTCGTGATGAAGATAATGCGGCATGAAATGATATGGACTGAATCGAACTTTATCCAACGATTACTCCGACGGTAGGGCCCCGTATGAAAATGTGTTTAACTTGCCCCTCGTCTGCCCCATTCGCCTTGGCACAAGCTCTCATCCCGCTCTCTGCCGCGCCCTCCTCCTCGTCATCTTCGCCCTCTGTCTCCTCTTCATTATTATCCTCCCCTCCTCCTCCCCCGCCTCCCCCCCCTCTTTCTCCTCCTCCCCCCTCGCCATCCGCCTCAATCTTTCCCTATATTACCATCATCCTGCCTGTTTTCCCCATGCATCTCCCCTGCCTCCTGGCCGGGGCAAGTCCATTTTCCTCGGCGCCGATGCCGCCACGGCTGGCATGGTCGTGTCCTCCGATGACCGGATCGCGAGGCCGCTGGGCCAGCCCCGCGGGCGAGGCCGCTGGGACAAACCCGCGAGCCGCTGGGGCGCGGGAGCCAGCCGTTGGGACAACCCCGCAGGTCTCGAGCTGTTCGCGGCCGCGCTCAGGCGGGGGGCACCACGAAGCCCAACTGCGCCGCGAGCTGCTCCGCCTCAGTCCTGGAGCCCGCAGCCACCGAATCGAACTCCCGGAACGCCTTCTGCAGGGACACCAGCGGCCCGCGCTCCAGAAACTCTCGCGAGGGCGGCCGCAGGACCAGCATGTTCCGCATGCACGTGGCACGTTCCCCCCCGTACCCCCAGGGAGCTCCTCCGGTCGAGAAAACCCCGAGCTGACTTCCTGCATACGCATGCCGGAGGAGCCCGGTCGGATTCCAGGTTGCAGGTTTGCCGGCGGCCCTTCGGATTCGAACTTGTAGATGGGGTTCCAATAGGGAAGGTATCCCGGTCGAGACTTCCTCGCAACTGACTCACAGACGGGGTTCCCGCCTGAGACGTCCTCAAGATTCAAGCATGAAGAACCCAAAAATGACGACACTTACAGGGTTCGCATGACCCGCTCGGATTACCAACATGAAACGCTGGCCCCAAAAGGAAGGGGCTCCCGCTTGAGACTTCCTCGCAACTCACACACTGACGAGGCCCCCGCCTGATACTTCCTCCACATTCAAGCCTCAAGAGCCCTAAAGTGGCGGCAGGTACAACTTCCCGATGACCCGCTCGGATATGTAACTCGAAATGCAAGGCCCATAGGGAGGGGGTTCCCGCTTGAGACTTCTTCGCAGTTCACTCACAAACGAGGTTCCCGCCTGATACGTCCGCCATACTCACGCTTCAAGAAGCTAAAACTGACGACCTTTTTACAGGTTTCCGATGACCCGCTCGGATTAGTAACATTATTTGCGGGCCCCATAGGGGATGGGTTCCCGCTTGAGACGGCCTCGTAATTCACACAAAGACGAGGCCCCCGCCGAATACTTCCTCTGTGCTCAACTCTGAGGAGCTATGGCAAGATGATGAGTGGGTGAGTGATTAGTGTATCGAGTGAGTAAGTGTGCGAGTGAGTGATTGGGTGACTCAAAACGGTGATTGCGGTGGCGATGCTGAGGATGATCGAAGATCGGTGTTGATGATGATGACGATGTTGTGTGAGAGTGAGTGAATGACGAGAAGGTGTGAGGGGTTCCTGCGCGTGGGGGCGCAGACAAAGTAAAAACCTCTGTTTGGGATGTGGGGGGGGACAATACATGGAATCAAAGGATGCAATGTAACGAAATGAAACGAAATGAATATGAGGGATATGCAAGTACATGAAATGCCATGAAGTTAATAAGTTCAAGGAGCCGACATTATGCTACAGGAGTTCCCCACAACAGGATTATACGGGGCTGGCAGGATCAAGGGGACACAAAAAATAGGAAACCCGAAGACCCCTCTCGTGCTGACATACACCAGACTCACTTCTATAGCGCTCATTTCTATAGTGCTCACTTTGAAACTGTGGTCCGGAAGGGGCCGCACATGCAGGCACATGCCGCACAGTCGCATGCACATGCCCATGCAAATGTACAAAAGCCTCAACAGCATTGCCGCACATGCGCGCACATGCCACACCGTCCGACGCACAGTCGAATGCACGG